TGAGCTCAAAAGCCCACTTGGCTAGCCTACCAGATTTTTCAACCTTGCCGAGAACTTTTTCCAACGGCTGATCAGTTAAGACCACTATCTGATGGCAATCAAAATAGGGCCTCAGCTTCCGAGCAGCTACTACTACCGCGAAAGCAACTTTCTCGAGTAGATAATAGCGAGTCTCGGCATCCATCAGTGTATGACTGACGAAGTAGATCGGTTGCTGACTCTTACTCTCTTCCTTCAGCAATACTGCGCTGATGGTGGCTGGGCTAACGACCACATATAGGTACAAAGTTTCTCCTTCAGCTGGGCTAGCCAGCGTTGGGAGTTGAGCCAGATGCTCCCGAAGCTGTTTAAAGGCGTCTTTTTGCTCTTCCTCCCAAACGAGCTCTTTTGTTTTCGGGAGTTTCAGGGCTTTGAAGAAAGGTAACCCCTTATCCGAAGCTCTGGAAATGAACCTCGAGAGGGTTGCCATTCTTCCGGTGAGCCGCTGAACATCCCGCTTCGTTTTTGGCTCAGGAAGGTCGAGCGCCGCTTTGACTTTAGAGGGATTGGCATCAATCCCCCTTTTGCTGACCATGAACCCAAGGAATTTCCCTGACTTCACGCCGAAGACACACTTCTTCGGATTCAGCTTCATTTGATGCTTTCTCAAGGTGGCGAAAGTTTCAGCCAGGTCCTTTACATGGTCCTCTAGTTTTTTGCTTTTGACGATCGAATCGTCAACATAGACTTCCATGTTTCGGCCCTTTTGATCGGCGAAAACTTGATCCACCAGCCTTTGATAGGTTGCCCCCGCATTTTTCAATCCGAAGGGCATCATTTTGTAATTGTACACCCCAGCGTTCGTGACGAATGCTGTCTTTGCTCGATCGTCGGGGTGCATAAAGATCTGATGATACCCCGAGAATGCGTCCATGAAACTAAGCAAGGCATGGCCACTTGTCGAATCGACTAGCTGATCGATCCTCGGCAAGGGATAGAAATCCTTTGGACAAGCCTTATTTAGGTCCGTGAAGTCAACGCACATCCTCCAGGTACCATTGGGCTTCTGAACCATCACCACATTTGCCAGCCATTCTGGATATTGGCAAGGTTCGATGAATCCTGCCTCCAATAATTTTTTGACCTCGGCTGCAATGTCTCGGTTCTTATTGGCGGAGTAATTCCGCTTCTTTTGCTTAACTGGTCGACACGTCGGGTCAACATTAAGCTTATGGGAGATGAGGTCTGAACTTATCCCGGGCATATCAGCTGCCGAGAAAGCAAACACATCTCTGTTGTCCCGAAGGAGCTGAATAAGTTCACAACGGGTGTTCGGATCAAGGTCCATCCCGATTGCTACACATTTCTCATCGTCTCCTTCGGCCAACTCAACTGTTTCAGTCTGTTGGTCCATGTCCATTGCCGATGGACTGGACTCTTCAGAATCTGGCCTGCTGCCAATGTCAGCAGGTGTCCCCGTCTTTTTGTTCTTCGGCTGGCTCTCTGAGTCGTGCGGCTCAGCTGAAGAGTTAGCCTTTTCCCTTTCGGGCCCTTTTTCTCTGGGCACAGATCCTTGGGCCGAAGCACTTAGGCCTTTTGGATTTTTTGTGCTTGGCTCTCTTTCTTTTTCTTTCTCCTCCTCATCCTTGTCGTCATCTGGGCGACTACTGGATGGCTTGAGGTAGTTGCACCTTCGGGCGTCCTTTTGGTTGCCCTGTATCCTTTCGGGGAAGCCGGCGTCTGAGACGTAAATCATCAGCTGATGATAAGTTGAGACGACCCCTTGGATCTCGTGAATTATGGGTCTCCCCAAAATCACGTTGTACACTGAAGGAGCGTCGATGACCAAAAATTCAATCATGACGTTCCGGGCTGCCTCATCGCAACCGATGGTGACAGGAAGTGTCACCTTCCCATCTGGATAAGTTGAAGCCCCATTGAACCCGGATACCGGGTAGGGTACCGGCGTAAGGTGCTTGGGCTTCAGCTTAATTTGATTGTAGGCCTTTCGGAACAGAATGTTTGCTCCACTGCCACCGTCAACAAGGACCTTACTGACGTCGTGGTTGGCCACCGTGGCGATGATCACCAACGGATCCTCGTGAGGGAACGTAATCCCCCGGCAGTCGGCGGCTGTGAACGTCATGTTCGGCACCGGCGACTGGGGAGATTGAATGTCAGCGTTGTTCACCTGGTGAGTCAAAGCTCTAAGGTGGCGCTTGTGCTCCCTCCGAGAGTATATTCCTCCCGAGATAACATTGATCGGAGGGAATTTCCCCTCCGGCTTTTTACTGTTTTTCCGGGGGAAGTCGAGGTCCTGCCGAGGGTCCTTTGCTGACCTCTCGGATTCTTTTTTCTCGCGGTGATCCGCGATGTATTTTTTCAAGTATCCCTTCCGGACCATGTCCTCTATCTGGTCCTTCAGTTGGATACACTCCTCAGTGTTGTGTCCCGAAGACTCATGGAACTCGCACCACTGATTTTTATTTTTTCGCTGATACCACTCTGGGAGTGGTCTCGGCTTTCGGTAACTCTGCTCCTCCTTCGTCATGCTGTAAATTTTGGCGCGTGGAAGAGAGAGCGGAGTGTAGGACTCGTATCTGCCTGTGTATGAGGCAGATCTTTCCTTCTTTGGGTCGATGGCCAAAGATTGCTCCGGGGCCTTTGACTTTCCCTTTGCCTTATGGCCTTGGCCTTCAGACAAGGGTATTTGTCTCTGTTTCCCTCCCCCGAATTGAGGTAGGGTTTTCGCTTTGTTCCATTCTTCGGCTCGGATGAACTTATCCGAAGCATTAAGAGCTTCCTCCAAGGTCTGCGGGGTATGCATGACCATGAAGTCTAGGAACTTTCCGGGCTGAAGGCCATTCTGCATTGCGAAAACGGCTAGCCCCTGGTCCAGCTGGGAGACGCTTGATGACTCGTTACTGAAACGGGTCAGGTAGTCTCGGAGGCTTTCGGTTTCCCCCTGTTGCAGACTCATGAGCTCTGCGGTAGTCTTCTCTTGGCGGTTTGCCGTGGAAAACTTGCTCCTGAACTTGGAGGACAGATCATCCCACCCTGTTACGGAGCCTTGCCTTACTCCCTTGGAGATCCACGCTTGCGCGACCCCCTTGAGAGTGGTTGGGAAATATTTGCACCAAGTCGCCTCGGATCTGGGGCAAAGATGCATATGAGTCTCATACGAGGCCACGTGATCCTTCGGATCCGTGGTCCCGTCATATGTGATGTGCGACGGTATTTTAACCGTGGGTACGCGCTCTTCCAGTATCCATTGCTCGAATGGTGAACTGGCGGGTAGCATAACGGCCTTGCCCTTGTTCCTGGCCGAAGGGACCGCGCTCCGCCCTCTTAGAGAGGTAGGAGTGGTTTTCGTCCCTGGCTGGGAAGTCTGGGCCTCGGCTGCAGGGAACGAGAGGCGACTGCGCACGCTCGGTTCCTTGCCGCCGAGTCGGTCAAGGACGCTTCTGCGAACAGTCTCAGGTTCTCGGTGAGTAGATTCTGGCCGAGAAGCTGAGCTGCTGCTCTTATGCGCTTCTGGTCTTGAGGATGAGGATCCTTTTAAAAATTGAGGGTTCTTTTTCCTCTGTTTTTCAGTTTTCCAGGAATCCTCCTCCCACTCTTCCAGTTCCCGGAAGGAAGGAAGCTTCCCACCATCATGGTCTAACTTCCTCCGCTGATGCCGGGTATGCGGAGGAGTTCGATCACGAGGTGGTGGCATATTTTGTGCCCTCATCGCCTCCATGAGTACTGTCAGCGCTCTTGCCACCTCTTCCGAGCTGGGCCCCGTCAAAGGGGTCCTCGGCCGAGTGTGGGAATGAGAGCGCGCAGCCGATGGTTGGCTTTGGGACACTGAATGTGTCCTATGATCGGACTCACCCCTGCTAGACCGAGAGTGACCCGGCCTATAATGAGAATCATGAATTACGGGAGATAGGGAATCCTCCTTGTATGATCCTCCCCCCGAGCCGGCACCCTTGGGAGAGTTCCGGTCCGGCGAGGGTGATGGTGTAGGGGTTTTAGGCTTTTCGCCCGCTCCTTGACGGAGGCTTTTGCTCTTGCGGTTCTTAGCCATTGCTGCTAAGATAATTGCAAGATGATCTTGGTTAGGAATTTGGCTTAAAGATTTTTGAAAGTCTTCCCCACAGACGGCGCCAAATTGTTTCGGGTGAAAACAATGGGACCTTGCCGAAGGTCCGCTGAAATGGAGAAGGCTGGATTCGGTCCAAGTTATGTTGGGCCGAAGGTTTCCTGCACAGTAAACACACGTAAACTAGCCTCGGGGGTGTTGCCGAGGAAGGCCCCTCCGATGCTAAAGTCAGTACAATGTGTAAGAAGAGGACACTATGCAAGAGAGTTTGTTGCTTGAGGCTTTTATGGAATATATCAGAATATATGAATGAACATATGAATCTATATCTGAATAATCTATGAATGTATCAATATTGATGGCTTTTATACCTCATCATACATGGAGAGGTTGGACCTTAGCCCAATTGGCTTGCTTTGTGGGCTGACCATTGACTTTAGCACAATTGGAGAGTTGAACCTTGACCTTGGGCTTTTAATTGGATCATTTAGTGCTTAGGCCCAATTGGACTAAATTGGACCCAAACAACTTCAATATTCCATAAGTAAAAATTATAAAAGTTATATATCATGATATTACTTATACTTATTGTGACGATTCTAACTAGATCTTATATGAGTATGTTTTTCCTTGCAAATAATTCACAAAAGACGGTCAAAGGTGAGATGGTGTATATCGTAAAAGTTAAAGCGGGTCAAATAAAAAATAACGGAGGAACACTATGAATTCTGAAAATGCTAATGAAAGTGGGTGATTTTGTTCAGATGTGTTTTTTAAGTTTTTAAACATAAGTACCCGTTTTACACGATGATTTTTTTTTTTTTTTAATAGATCTTACACTTATTCACCATTTTAATTTAATCATGAAGCATAGTAATTGAAAAATAAATAGAAGAAAAAAATACAAGTTAGATTAAATGGGAGTATTACTTACCACGAGCATATGCTTTAATTCATCAAGGCTTAATTCTTTATTATCAACAAGCTTAAGTAAAGTACCTAAGAAATCATCCTTTGTATCATTTGGATTTTTCAACCTTTCATCAATAATCTCCTCAAAAATTCCTAACAACTTGTTAGCGTAATCCGTAGCCCTTCTCAACACTCCTTGCAAATCCAAGTTCCGAACAAGCGGGAAAAAATCCGAAACGTTAGGCCTCGCAGCCTCTTCTAACAAGGTCCAAATAATATCCTTAAACTCTTGTGAATTCGAAGAATCATGGGTAGCCAAATCTATTGAGAAAATTGTGTTGGACAACAAATTTAACGTGGTAACAAAAGCGGCCTTACCAACATCAATTGGTAGACCGGATTCACTACACTGTCGCGCATACTCAACCAACTCATTTACCTTCTTTAGCCGTAAATCCTGACTAGCATCAAGTTGATGACTAGAGAATAAGTGTATTGTTGCAATCTTTCTAAGGTTACGCCATTTTGGGCTAATTGGGAGAAAAACCATGGAAACTTGATCATGGTTAGTTGCTCTCATAGCATCCGTAATAGCCCTACCCGAAAAGTCCAAGTCATGTTTAAGGAACATTTCTTGGGCTACTTCCGGGGATGATATCACTACCGTAGTGATGCTCCCTAGCTTTAGGGTCATTATGGGACCATAAATTTTTGATAGCTCGGCGACAACATGATGAGGTTTGTCGCCGAGCTTAAGTATGTTGCCTATGATAGGCCACGGTGTTGGTCCCGGAGGAAGTTTATTGGATTTACTAAACAAATTTTTTAGGAAGGTAACAGTGGTTACGACGATGAGGAGGAACAAGGTAATGGTGTAATATTGCTCCATTGATGTAGCAGCTTAGGAGTAGCTGCTAGCGTAGATCAGATGTGATGTAACAATCTAACACGGCTAAAAGTTTCATATATATTGACAAAAATATTTAAGGGACTTTATTACATGTAGTTGAAAACTACCATATTTTTAGATCACGTTGTTTTATAATTATAAATTAATGAAGATGATGAATGGAAGAATCGTGAAGATAAGGAGTAAATAAAACGGTAGGCAAGTGTGTGGATGTGAACAACAAGATCTGATCTTTTGGGACCCTGTACTTTTCATATCTCAATAGTACAAGTCCATTCTTTCCTTTTCAAATTTTTCTCCACTTAAAATTATTTAAATAAGTTTTTTTTTATTTTTTTTTTTTATAATTAAACATTTCAAAATAACACATGTAGTAGTTTAAATGAAACAAAGAAGTACAGTAAAACCACATAATATCTTGATTAAGATGTAGAGAACAATTATCTGCAAAGTGGAATAGCCTGAATAGTTTGACTTTTTGCAAAGTAAGCCCGAACTTTTCTTCCATGTCTATATCTTGAGGACTTGCTCCATCACCATACTTCCAATTGAACTAATGAAGAAGAGTAGCCAACATTAGATGTGTCATCCTATAACCAAGTGGTAGTCTAGGACACATTCACCTTCTTGTGCCAAAGGGTATGATTTCAAAATATTGTCCTTTAAAATTAAGTTCTTTATCTAAAAACCTTTCTAGGGAAAAAAATTCAGGATTTGGCAATGCATTTGAATTACGGCCAATTGACCATAAATTGACCCAATTAGTTGAGTTCTTAGGCACCGTAAAGTAATAGTTTGTCTTATCTCAATTTGAGCCTTTTGATACTTTTTTGGGTTGCGCAATATTTCAGACATCATCCACTCTAACAAGTTAGAGCTTGTATCAGTTCCCGCTACAAACAAATCATATATATGCACAAAAACAATACATTGTTGAGAAACAATTTAATACATTACTTAACAAAAATCTCATTCTTTTATGATAGGTCATTTATGATGGACTCAAATCCTGTTTGATCCCTAGCATCTATCACTTTTAATTTAATGACAATTTTTTAGCTCGTTATAAGACATATCCATCTTCATACAAAAGACCCAACTCATAACTCTTGCGACTAAACTAAAATCTCAAACAAACAAAAACAAAAAAGGCTTTCAATTCATGGCGGGATTTTGCCCGGCCTCATCACAATACTTTGAATAAATAACTTTTAAAAAGGTAGTTAGTTTCTCTTACCAATAGTAAATGTTTGACATCATCAAGGCTTAATTCATTGTTCTCCACAAGCTTGAGTAGGGTGCCTAGAACATCATCCTTAACATCCATTGGATCTTTCAATCTTTCATCAATAATTTCCTCAAAAATCTTCATTAACCTTTTGATGTAAACTCAAGTCGTTTTCATCACTCCTTGCAAATCCAAGTGCTTAACTAATGGGAAAAAATCTGACACATTAGGTTTTGCATACGCTTCTAACAAAAGCCAAACAAGATCCTTAAACTGTTGTGATTTCGAAGAAGTATGGCTAGCCAAATCCATCGAGAAAAATGTGTTTGACAACAAATTTAGCGAGGTAATGAACCCCGTCTTACCAATATCAACCGATAGACCGTTGTCACAACATTGTTGTACATACTCAACTAGCTCTTTCACCTTCTTGTGCCGTATATCCTGACTCATATCGAGTCTTTGATTAGTGAACAATTGGATAGTTGCAACCTTTCGAAGGATCCGCCATTTGGGGCATACCGGGAGAAATACCATGGAGAATTTGAAATGATTTCCGGCCCTCAAAGCATCTAGCACAGTCTTAATAGAAAAGGCTAAGTCATACTAAGGAACATTTCTTTGGCTATTTCTGGAGATAATATAACTATTGTAGTCATGCTCCCTAGCTTGAGAGACATTATAGGACCGTAAATTTTTGCAAGCTCAGCGACAGCACGATGAGGTCTGTTGCCAAGCTTGAGAATGTTTCCTATGATAGGCCATGGTTTTGGTCCCGGGGGCAATGTGGACTTACCAAACAATATTTTTAAGAATTGGATTATGGTGGTGATGATGAAAATGGTAAAGACTAGTAGTAAAGTAGTGTAATATTCCATTTTATGATAGGCTTAATGATTTTGAAGATACAATAACGTACTCCTATTTATTAGGACGGAGTAAAGCTACTCCATTACTTAATTGGTTAAATAACATGCATGCATGAAATGATGCATGGCCTAGGATAAAGGAGTGGAGGGATGGTTAGTCCCTCCATCTCTCCCCGGTGTGACCGGGGTTCGATCCTCACCCCCAACACCCCTCCTGTGATAGAAGGGGCTCCTCGTATCGTACCATAAAATAAATAAATAGGATGATGCATGGCCTCGTTATGTATTACAATACTCGAATCTGTAACTCTGTTTTAAACACGCTATCATAAAAAATATTAAATCCGATTTATCTACTAAAAGATTAAATCTGCTCGTACAAATTATTGTAGTGTTTTAAACACGCTATAATTGAGTAAGCGAATTAAGTACTAAGTATTAGTGAGTAATTTAAGAATAAATAAATACATTCCCTTTTTGAAGGTTGACTACGTAGTGGTTGTCGAATTACGGAGTACTCCATAGATAATGCCACAATTAAAATCATTAATTATTTAGTAGCACTTTTAATAAAAACATGTTATTATATGGTAGCTATTAATGTTTTTTTTTTCTTCTTTTAACGAAAAATAATATTTTGGCTTTTAAACTTGAGGTTGTGGATTCTAATCTTAAATAATCTATCTTTTTAAACACATAAAATAAAAAGACTCAAGAGTTAAAAAAATCTACTACGTATCTATCTATTTATTCCTATTATATGAAACTCAAACCATTAGTGTGATTATTTTCATTTACGTTATGAAAACTCATCAAACCATTAGTCCATTAGGGCCACTTGCTTCCTTTACCTTTAATATATTTTTTTTTTCTTTCTTAATAACATAGCTTTATCCTTCACTCTTTTATATAAATCTTATAGTGATGGTTTTTTTTTCCCTTCACATTCTTCATGATTTAATATCTTTTATGAGTGTAGCTTAATATTCAATCTTTCAATTCCTCTCCCTACATTTTCATTATTCTTTAAAAAAAATATGGGATGATAAAAGAATTAGTTACAAAGTTATATCATTTTTTATTTTAATTCAGTTTCCAATAGCTCATGTGTTGTACGGATCAAATGTCTATTTGATTGACACCTCTTACCACAATGCCTCATGATAACTTCCATCTCAAAACTTAAAGTAGCGCCAAGTATATTGACATTAATGAAACGAAGCTCAGATTATAACAACGCCTATTAACATGCTCTATTTTTAAAATTTATAAAAGTAGTAGATGATTACAGCTAAGAAGAGGTAGAGGTAACAACTGATGAAACATTAAATTTTATTTATGGATATACAACAAGACTTAACAGAACTAAAATATCAAATTTGTTCAAAGAGATAACAATAAGAAAACGAACTAGTTATTAGACTCCAGCATATCCAAGATTGAGCGGATCCCTTTTATTACTAGAATGACCATAATTGAAACTTTTGATTTTCCTCAATGTTATTCCTTTCCACCCCTTCACTTCAATCATTGGTGAGAGCATAAAACGTTGTCCAAAATTTTAAGTTGTCCAAAAAAAAGGGTGTTGGAATGCAATTTAATTGAACAAGCAGGGAAGTATAGTGAAACCACCCAACTTCAAAGATTTACTAATAACAATCATTTAGAAAGTGGAATAGTTAGAAGTGGTTCGACTTTTTGCAAAGTAAGTCCAAATTGAATGAATGAAGAAGAGTAGCCAACATCAGATGTGTCATCCTATAAGCAAGTGGCAATCCAGGACATATTCGTCTTCCTGTGCCAAAGGGTACGAGTCAAAAAAACGTCCTTTGAAATCGATTTCTCTATCCAAAAATCTTTCGGGAGAAAATGATTCAGGATTTGGCCATACATTTGAATTATGGCCAATCGACCATAAATTGACCCATATAGTTGAGTTTTTAGGCACTATAACTTGAGATTAAAAATAAAATTAAAAATCAAGTACGTAATATCTCATACCACGAGTAGATGTTTGACTTCATCAAGGCTCAATTCATTGCTCTCAACAAGCTTGAGTAAGGTGCCTAGAACATCATCCTTAACATTTTTTGGATCTTTCAACCTCTCATCAATAATTTCCTCAAAAATTCTCATCAATTTTTTGAAGTAAACCCTATTTGTTTTCAACACTCCTTGCAAATCCAAGTGCTTAATTAATGGGAAAAAATCCGACACGTTAGGCTTAGCACACAAATCTAATAGAAGCCAAACAAGATCCTTAATCTCTTGCGATTTCGAAGAGCTATGGCTCGCCAAATCCATCGAGAAAAATGTGTTTGACAACAGATTTAGCGAGGTAGTAAACCCCGCCATACCAATATCGACTGGCAGACCCTTGTCACAACATTGTTGTACATACTCAACTAGCTCTTTCACCTTCTTGTGTCATATATCCTGACTCGTGTCAAGTCGTTGATTGGTGAGCAATTGCATAGTTGCAACCTTCCGAAGGCTCCTCCATTTGGGGCATACCGGGAGAAAAACCATGGAGAATTTGACATGGTTTTCAGCCCTCGCAACATCCGGGGAATTCCCACTAGAAAAGGCTAAGTCATGGTTAAGGAACATTTCTTTGGCAATTTCCGGGGATGATATAACTATTGTAGTTTTACTACCTAACTTAAGACTCATTATAGGTCCGTAAATTTTTGCAAGCTCGGAAACAGCACGATGAGGTTTGTTGCCAAGCTTGAGAATGTTGTCTATGATAGGCCATGGTTTTGGTCCTGGAGGTAGTTTGGATATACCAAACAATATTTTTGAGATTTGGATGGTGCCATGGTGGTGATGAGGATGGTAAGTAGTAGTAGTAACGTGGTGTAATATTCCATTTTATTATTTTTTTTTTAGGTATGATTTCGAAGATACAACGTGCACCTATTTATTAGTAGTAACGGAGTAACATGCATGGGGTCCAATTTGGATTACAATATTCCGTAATGAAATGTACTTGTATTAAACAATAATATGTAAAAACAAAATTTAATCCGACTAATCAGCTGAAACATATGCTCGTATAAATTATTGATTATTATTAACACACAATAATAATTAATTGAGAAAGAATAAAATAATTCAGAAAAAGT